GGGCGGGTGGGTGATGAGCTGGAGTGAAGGTGTCACGAGTGTGGGACGACGGCAGGAGGTTGGCGGGGACGCAGGCCAGTTTGGGGAAGGGGTGTTTACGACGTGCACGCTGGGGTTGGGGCTGTGCCGCTGCCACTGTCACTGTCGCTGCCGCGGGTGGACGATGTGGCCCGCGGCGTGGGAGGGACCGCACGGGAGCGGAGAGGGCGGCTTAGGCATGCTGGATTCAGGGGGATCAGGGTTGGGGGTCAGGGCGTGACCGCACCGGGGTGCCGTACACACGGCCGTGCATGCATGCGGCGCGCGAGCGCGACGCTGGAGCCGCCCACCAGCCCCCACCCGCACACCCCCGTGAGCCCCGCGCGCACCCCTCAAAAAAGTTGAAGATGTCGAGCGGCGTCGCGCGGAACGGCAGCCCCCTGATCTTGACCGTCTTTGACTCGGTGCCGATGACCATGACAGGCGCCTGCCCGCCCGGACTGCCGGACTGCCCGACCATGAGGCGGCCCGCCGCGGCGTAGCCGTTCTGATGCGGCCCCGCCGGCGCCGGCGCGGCGCACGCCATGATGTGGGCGCCGGCCGGCGCGAGTACGGCGCCCTGGGGTAATCCCAGGTGCTGCTGCTGCTGCTGGTGGTGCTGGTGGTTGTGCTGGTGCTGACTGTGCTGCTGCTGCTGATGATGACTAATCTGCTGCTGATGACCAATCTGCTGCTGCTGCATGTGCTGCTGCTGCACGCCGCGGGGCGTGCCGCCGAGGGTCATGCCGCCAAGCTGGTAGGCCAGCGCCATGTGGGGCGGGGCCATCTGCACCTGGTGCAGCCTGCGGTTGGGGGGCCGAAAAGGGGGGTGGGGCACGGCCATGAATACAGGCGCGGCGGACGCCAGGGCGGCGCCAGAGAGCGCGGGGCGGCCCACACAGCCGGCGTGGCCCCAGAGCGCCGGCTGCTGCTCGAAAGGCGCGCCGTCCGAATGCGCCGGGTCCAGCGTGTGCGCAAGCCACGCACATGCGCGAGCACGCCCACACACACGTATACACAAGAACACACAATTGCATACAAACAACAAGACCCATGCGCGCACGCATGTACGCATATCACACACACACACACACACACACACACACACACAGCCCCAGTCCGTCGCCTGCACCCCGCGCCACCCACCCGATCGGCGCCCCGGCCATCGCAATCTGCAGCCCGTCCTGCGACACCACCTGCGCCACCTGCACGCCCCCGCCGCCGCCGGCCATCGGCTGCGCCAACTGCAGCGCGGCCACGCCGTTAGGCCCGATCTGCACGTACTGCGGCGCCATGGTCACGCCCAGGGGCATGGAAATCGGGATGCCCGCAACACCCATCACCGCGTTGCCGCCGCCGCCGGCGTTGCTGACCGGGACGCCGGACCCGGCGTGACCCAGGTGTATCCCGCCGCCGCCGTTGGGCTGCTGGGGGTAGGGCTGGAATTCCACCAGGCGCTGCTGCTGCTGCAGCTGCGGCTGCTGCTGGTGCGGCTGCTGGTGCTGCTGCTGGAGCTGCTGCGGCACCACATGCTGCACCGCCTGCACGCCGCCGCGCGCCATCTGCGAGAGGGCGTCTATCTGGGCGCCGTACGCGGCGTGCGGGTGCTGCTGCAGGTGTGGCAGCTGCACTGCGCCGCGCTGCGCAAAGTGGTCAAAGGGGCTGCTGAGGGCGGGGCCGCCGTGCATGAAGTGCAGCCCGGGGGCGGCCTGCTGCTGCTGCTGCTGCTGCTGGAAGCGGCTGCGGCGGTGGGCGTTGCCGGGGATCGCGATCGTGCCCAGTCTGACCTGCGGCGGGGGGAGGGGCAGGGGGTTGTATGGGTGGCCGCGCCCGCTGGTGCCGCCTGCCGCCGTACAGCGCGCTCGACTGTGGTGTCGCAGGCGCCGAGGCTGGTCTTCCCGGGTGCGCCACAGCCCCTGCGCCGCTGGCTGGGTGTGAGTGACCCCTGAGAGCCACGCCAATGTGCGCCGGCGCCACGTCGTGCACGGCGTGCTCCAACCAAAATCACACCCCCGGCGGGAAGCGTCGTTCGGCACACACTGCGCCCCATGCCGCGCCACCCCTTCCGCGCCGTTTGCGCATGCGCTGCGGCGAGCTACGAAGCCTGAGGCTGCGACTACATGCGTTCGCGGCCCATTCCGGAGTGAATCCAACCCCAACGCATGCGTGCCATCCCCTGCCGCCCACCGGTCCCCCCCAAAAGCCCCCCGCACCTGCTCCAGCATTTCCTGTTTTGGCACGTGCAGCAGCCGCACGTAGCGTTCCCCTATGAAGGCCCCGTTCTTGGACATGGCCTGCCCAAACAGCAAACAGTGCACACCAATTTAAGCATCGTCCCTGCGTCAGGAGTTGTCGCCGCCCGGTGTGTGGCGGGGCCGCGCCTGCCAAGCGCGCGCGCCGGGTTGCGAAAAGGCCGGTCAGGGGCGGGGGCGGGCCCAGGGCGCCGCCGCCTCAACTCCTGGTGACCCACCTGCAGGGCCTCGTCCCGCGTGGCAAACTCAGCAAAGGCCTGCCGAAGCCAAGGGGCGCGGCGGCGTGGGCGCAGGCGGCGGGCGGGGCGGTTGGCGCATGACGGTATGAGGGTCGCCGCTTGGCTTGGCTGGGCTGGCCGCTGCCACAGCCGAGGCCCGGCTCGGACCCACCCGAGGTCGTGACGGCCCACGACGCGCGTCAGAGGCGCCAACCATTATGCGGGCGGCGCGCTGCGCAGCGCCGCTGCAATCGGCGCAAGTCGGCCCCGCTCACCAGGCCGCTGGGCCGGCCGTCCGGCTCATATACGAATGCGACCTCCTTGACCTGTTTGTGGGGGCAACATCAATGATGGTTTGCATGGCACGCGGCGTGACGAGGCCATGGCTGGGGCTGCAGATGGAGTGTGTGAAGCAGCCCGCAAGGACGCACGCCAGCTGGCGGCGCCCCGCTTTGCCGGCGGGCAGCCCGCGGCCCCGGCGGAGGCGCCCGGCCTCGCTCAAGCCGCGGCCGGCGCCCCGCTGCCGGTGACTTCGCCGCCGATGAGCGTGATGCTGGTGGGGCATGGCAGCCGCAGCAGCAGCCGCACCGCCCGCAGGCACCTGGCGGTTCCTGCCTTGCGCTAGCCCAATCCATCCCGCCTCAAACCGCGCACGCGCTGTTTCGGTCGCCATTGTTGTGCATGCCCGGGCCCTGGCCACCACGGAATCCCAACCGCCTCACCGTGTAGCCGGCGAAAAACTCCCTGATGGCGCTCTCCCCTGCGCTGTAAGGCAAGCCTGCCACGCCGGCAGGGCGGGGCAGCCAGCCGGCGGAAGAGAAATTCAGTGCCGCAATCGCGCTCCTGTCATCCTGCCTGATGCAGCATGCGGACGTTGCTGCTGCTACTGCCCCACAGGCCCCAGCAACCGCATGCACGCTAATGGCAATCACCTTTGAGCTTCAAGACACACGATTCAGCCCCTGGCACGTCGTCTAGGGGGAGAGGTGACCGATCCGGTGCACCCGCTACCAGGTCGGGGACCGCTCCTAACGAAGACGCTGAAGATAGAGCCCCACCAGGACCACTACATGGTTCCCCAAGAAGCGCATCAGGGGCCGGGGCGATGCCCTCGGCTGCCTGTAAGGAGATCATTTGTCCCCCCGTGTCAGTTCATATGTGGTCCCTGCCGACAAAATAGCTTAATGTCAATATCACCTTCCACCAGACCCCACGCTAGTGTTACCGGCGGCCGGCGTGGGATCCCCATGTGCTGCACTGGGCCGGCAGTGATCGGCGGGTGACCAGTGACGCCATGATGGGCATAACCGGCACCCGAAGATTTGGTCCAGCGTAGCAAGGGATGCTGCTACCTGAAGCGCTTACGCTTGCCATATTTACCGCTGGTTGGCCGCGCAATCGAGCGCGGCCGCTCGACGCCAGCCACTCGCCCTGCCGCAAGGGATCGACGCCTGTTATCAAATTACACGCCTCCAAGCCACATGCAGCGTCTGGCGCTCCGCGGCCCAAACAAGGTCGACGCGTCACGGCTTCAAGCACTGCTGCCGAGCTGGGGGACCACCTTGCTTGCTCCATGACAGCGGTAACGGCGTGCCGTCCGCGCCCGGAACCAATTACTCATCTCGCCGGACGCGCGACCAACCGACCGGGAAGCATGCCAGCTTCACGCCCCAAACCCCCCATCGCCGATTCTCGCAATTCGACGTCCGTGGCCAGGGGATTGCAGGCTTCACTTGGGCAGCTCCTGTCCCTTGTCCAGGCCCTTGGCCCACCGAGCAGCAACCAGGTTGCCGCCCTCGTCGTAACTTTCGGCTACGCCCGGGATGTTGAGGCCGGACTTCAGCGCCTCCTGCCAACAGCAACGCCGCGGGCGGCAGGCGCGAGAACGCGACGTCGCCATGAGTTTGGGGCGCCGATGCTGCGCCGTGTGCTGCGCGTGGGACGCACCCGGGCAGGCCCCGTAACCGCGGCGCAGTTGATTACGCGACGAAGCAATCCTCCAAATCGCGGCGACCCTCTTGTCATGCAGATCGCAATCCCGCCAACGAAGAATCAGACTTGGATTTGCAGGCAGAATTCGAAGTGCAGTGCACCCGCACGGGTCTCCTGCCATTCCACATCCGGCCTCTTGTGCGCCTTGGTCCCACTGTCGCACCCAATCTCCCACACACCAGTCACCCGACTCACCTTTCCAGTCGACACCCAGCGGCCAGCTGGCGGCCGCCGCTTACCGCTAGGGCTCCAGACCTGTTTCGTGGCGTGAGACAGGGGCACAAATAAGTTCAGTCTGGAGCGCACGCTAGCCCAGGCCGCCGCCTCTCAGGGGGCAGGCAAGTGTCTGTGGCTTGGCACCCTTCACATTGATTGGGGCAGCAACCTGGCAGCAATGCAGCAGCATAGACAGCAGCAACGCCGCCAAACACACCGCCGCCACCGCCACCCGCAGCTGCATCACTGGCTGCATGCTATCAACGGAGCCACAGCCAGCAGCCCCAGCAGCATCAGCACAACTGGGCGTGCATCACCCGCAACCACAGCAACATCCCCAGCCCGCGGCCCGCACCCTGTCATAGGCCTCGTAGCCGCCCTCCATCTTGACCACAGACGTGTAGCCCGCCTCCACCAGCGCCCCCACCGCGGCGTCCGCGTCGGCGCCACCTGATGTGCTGTTGATCAGCAACTTGGTGCCCTTCCCTGGGAACGCAGCGGTCACCTGCGGGCGTTGGGCGCGGGGCGCGGCGGCGACGCGGCCGTCTAGTGCGGCAGGGTCTGCAGGGAACTCGTGCGGCAAGCGTGCGAGCAACCGCGCTCCGTGGGAACGCACGTGAGAGCGCCGAGTGGCCCGCGGCGGGGCCCTTGGATGTGGCAAGGGCCCGGGAATGAGCCGCGCTGCGCTGGCCGGTCACCTTGGCGGCAAAGGCGGGGCCCTCCTGCCATGGAATGTTGGTGCTGCAGCGGGCCGGCTTCGTTATGCGGCTGGACTCGAACTCCCCAGGGGCCCTGCGGCAGGCACGGCAGCATTGCAGACGCAGGGGCGGCAGCCCAGGCCCGGGCTCTGTGTGGGGACGGAGGCCTGCACGTCGCCTTGCACCACAGCCCACAGAGGGCTGCTGCCCTCCCCTCCTTTGCTCGTACTGCTGCACGCTGGTCCCTCATTTGATCCCTTTGCTGTTCAACGCCCATGTCCAATGCCGCGGCCCGCTGTCACCTGATGTCCAGCACTTTGTAGCCTTCCCTATCCAGCAGCACCTTGGTGCGCTCCACATCCGCTGCTCCCACGCCGCCTGCTGTGCTGCTATCTCCCACTGCTGCTGGCGCAACGAACACGGCGCGTTGGCGGGCATGGCGCATAGGCCGTGCGAGCACGCTGCGCCGCTCGGCGAACGCTGTGCTGCTGCGAATTGCGCTCTGCGCTGCTGCAATGGGCGTTCGCCAGCTATGCGTGGTTACATTCGCGTGTTCTCGCAAGCGAATCGAGCCTCCTCTTCGCGACAACATGGCCTCGTACACCTCGAGCAGATCGTTAGAGCAAGCAGGTGACACTGACAGGTCAGAGCAAAGAAATTTATTGTGACAATTACATTGCAGCGCGGTTCACCTCCTCGGCGCTCACGTCAGGTGACAGTGTTCCTGTTGGTCAACACGTCCCCTGCAATTTGTGATTGGCTATCAGAACAGCTTACTGATGGCTGCCTTTTGTGATGGACGCAGGCGGGCAGGGATACCCCACTTGCTTTGTGCACACTGCTGCATGCCACATTTGCCGTGGGGGTGTCTATGGTGGTGTGCTCCTGCAGTCACCACAGAGAGCGGTAATGGCGTGCTCCATACATCATGCATGCGACTTGGGTGATTTCTCTCCTGTGGATTTAATTCGCTCTACTGATGGCAAATCAAGACATGCAAGGGGGCAAAGCAAGCTCGACAGTGCGGCTGATGGTACCCACTCGCCCCTTTTGACACACGGTAACTAAATCCTTGTGGCCTACGTCCAGGTCGCAGGTCCAAGCGCCGCGCTGGCATCCCCAACCGACTGCTGCTCTCACCTTTCTCAGTGCCACCAGTTCAGATGTGACGTGTTTTCGGTGCGCGCGCCTGGAACGCGCCTGGAATCCTGTCATTGGCACGCTCACTCGATGTGGCCCGCTGCCTGGCAATTGGCTGGAGCCCCCTGCCCTTGTGACCGGGTGCTTGCATCGCGCCTGGATGCACAGCCAGCCCTGCTGCTGCAGTGCCATGTGTGCTCTCAACATGGCCGCAGCTGTCAAGCGTTGCAAGCTTGACAAACCCTGATGCCACAAGCCGCGCTTTGTGTCGCTGAGGGACCAACTTCATACGTTGAGTTTGCAGCTGGCCGTGCTGGACGGGACCTGGCGTCCCGGCGCAACGCCGACCCAGGCCGTCCCCTTCAAACACCCAACACTCAAACCTATTTGCGACCCCTCTTGGCCCCCGCGCGCCTCTCCCCGCCAGTATTTAACTCTCGGGGCCCCCCGTCGTCCGAAATGACATGTCCACATGGAGGTTACAGCACAGGTGCAGCAGCTGCTGGCTGGGCCCCACCGCCACCGCACTTGCGCCATGGCCGTCGCCGTCGCTGCTGCTCCGGGTGCATGTCCTGCCGCCGCGTCAGCCGGCCCTCCCGATACGCCGGCCCGCTGCTGCTCGCAGCAGCCGCCCGCCCGTGCACCCAGGCAACGCGGCTGCCCTGAGCGCCCCGCGGCGCCTGCCAGCCTCCACGGCGCCGCGCCACAGGCGCCCTGCCGCCCCTGGCCCGCCTCCAAACGTGCCCAGCCACCGGCCTACTCGTCGTCCTCGGCGTCGCCGCCGCCGCCCTTGCTGCGCGCGTGGACAACAATGCAGTGTGGTGTGGTGCGGTACGGGTCGTGCAGGGCGGGGGTGAACGGTGGACGCAGTCCCGAGGATGGGCACACATGCTTGCATGTGCGAAAGCATGTGTGAGGGGGCCGCTGACACCCACAAGACGAAGCAGCCAAGCATGTGATGCCTGCGCTGCACGCATTCCCCGCCACAAGCAAGCGACAGGGCCAGCCGCAGCGGCAAAACGGGCCACTTACGCGGCCTGGTGCTTCCTCTTCACACGGCCGGGGCGGCCGCCGCCGAAGGGCGAGGTGAGGCTGAAGTCGATGTGCTTCTGGCTGTCGACGCGCACCATGAACGAGGGGATGTTGACCACCTGCTTGCCCACCCTGGGGTTAATTGGGGAGCGGAGGAGGGGGAGGGGTGGTCAGAGGGTGGCATTGAGCCCTGTGAGCGCGATCAAGAAGCCTTAGGGGGCGAGGGGGTGAGGGCGTTGGTGGAAATGACTTTGCCTGAAAGTCATTTCTGGGCTGCCTTGTTGAGGCAGCTGCAGCATAGCTGCTGGTCAGTTCAGCGCGCTGCTGCTGCTGCTGCCATTGCCGCCGCCACAGCACCACCGCTGCTGCTGCCGCTGGTATCGACGCTAGTACCACTGCCGTCCGCTGCTGCGAATGCCGCCTGCAGCAGCAGGTGCTGCTGGAGCTGCTGCCGCTGCAACTGTTACAGGCATGGACCTTGCACACGCCGCAGCAAACCAGGCCCTGCAGCATCCTGTAGTGTCGCCGCTGAAGCACCAGCGGTTGCTGAGTGCACCGCCAGCTGCGTTGCAGCGCACGCGCGGCTGCTGAGCGCCCGCCACCATCCCTGCAGGCCTGCTGCTGCTACTGCTGCCACTGCTGCTGCCGTCACAACAGCAGCACCGGCCACAGCAGCCAGTTGCCAAGCCCTGCAAGCCTCCACTGCAAGCCTTCCATCACGAGCCCATGACCTTTCAACACGCCTGCTGCGCCTGTCGCAGCCGCCATCTTCACCGCCCGGCACCGCCACACACACGCTGGAACCTTGCGCCTCCCGCCCCACTCCGCGCCCCGGCGCCCCACCTGATGTGGCGCTGGCGGATCAGCACGCGCGCGTGGTGGATCGACTTGGCGAGCCCCTGCTTGAACACGAGCGTCTGCAGGCGGCGCTCGAGGAAGTCCTGCGGCGAGAGCGCCAGCACGTAATCCAGCTTGTCCTGCGTCTCGTTGAGCAGGCCATACTTGTACATGCGGCGCATCAGCGCGTTGCCCTCGAAGATGCGCTTCGGGTCCTTGTCCTCCAGCGTCAGCAGCACGCGCGCCGCCTTGCGGATCTTGGACAGCACCATCTGCACGCGCCACAGCTCGCGCTTGTTGCGCAGGCCGTACTCGCCGACGAGCTTCAGCTCCGCGTCGAGGCGCTCCTTCTCGAAGGGGCGCCGCGGCTTCTTGAAGGTCTTGCCATCTGAGGGGACACAGCAAGGCGCGGCCGAGGTGATTGATGTGAGGGGCCGGCAACAAGCCCTGCCGACGGTGGGGCTGCAGCAGGTGCCTTGCTGAGTACCGCCATGTGGTGGACCGGTTCGCGCGCAGCAACCGCGGCGGTGCAGCGGCCGCAGCGCTGCAGCGGCCGCGAGTGCATCACTCGCCATCACACCCCGCAGCGGGGACGCTGCCGAACCACCTATGCAGAGACTGCGTAGCAGCCTTATGCTGCATTCTGAAAGCGCTGACGGCCGGAAAGCATCACGGCGTGCTGCTTTGCGAAGCCGCCGATCTCTTCTTCCGGCCAGAGGCCCCGCTGCCCCACCACGACGACTACACTCTACAGCAAGTTCAACGCCTAGAATTCTTAACCAGCTGCCAAGGGGCACTGGTTTTGAACGTCCTCACTGCCACCCTCCCGCGCGTCCCGTAACGAGCACGCGCGACGCTCACAGGACCGGTAGAATCCTATCTTCGGCATGTTTGCTGGAGCCCCTTGGGCGGAAAGAGGGCGAGGTGATGGATGCACACCTGAACACTGCGCTGCTCGTGCTGCTGCTTGTGCTGTTTGCGCTCCCTTTGCCCCCGCTGCGGGTACGTTTGAGGCAGGCAAGGCTGTTACTGCAGCGCATAAATGACAGAGCCAAACCCACGACGTCAGCGGCTTGCATGGTTCACAGCAACGCCCCACAAAGTGCAATCATGTGTTGACCTGTTGACAATCTCGAGCCTCTGCCGGCACGTCGTGATTGTGTACATCAGATTCAAGCAAGCGCTTTGCTATTGGGGACACTATGTACAGTCTGCAGGTGCCTGGTGGTCTCGTTGCTTCCATGGTCCAGCAGGCGATTTTGATTTGTTGCCAGCTGCGTCATCAGCCGAAGTGGATGTCCGCCTGGCTGATGATACTCCTAGTCCAAACTTCCCTTCATGGCCATAACAATGCTGTTGGCCTGGCCAACGATCACTGCTGCACGCGAAACAACACCACAAAGCACCAAACATTGTGCTGTGCAGTCAATCGCGCCCGCCAGCATAGCTGCTCCATCAAAGCAGTACAGTACCGCAAAAGGATCGAGCTGGCTGCCAGTCCTGACTGATATGCCTTGACGTAGAATGCCTTGTGTGCTCAGCAACTTGCCAAGAGCGCAGGACCGTGCCCCAGTATGGGCGTGAGGTTGATGAAACCATGACATGCATGAGACTGGAAATGCACCCTTTGCAAAAACCAGTAGCGCTCAGCGACCTGCCAGGAGCATGGGACCTGTCTGATTACAAGTGTGTGTTGGATGAATGCATGAAGGGCATGAGACTAGGATTGCACGCTTCATATACACCAACACAGCGCGCCTGCGGAGATTGTGCACAGCTGCTGGTGCTGCGCCTGTCGATAGCGGCGGCAATCAGGCAGCGTCAGTGAATCACATTCATGGTGCTTATCGCACCTATCTGGTGGCTCAGCTTGTCAACAGGTGAGGGTCCGGTCATCAAGGCCTGTGTGTCTGTGAGGGCAGTCGTGTGTTTTGAGTGTAGCGGGTGACCCCAACCGATTACTCGGCTGGTCGAGTGTATGTCGCATAACTCGCATACCTTTTGAAAGTGTAGCTGGTCACCTGGATCGAACACATCCTGCCATCGTGCGTACGGTACCCGCAGCGATCTGCGACACCACCTCTCGCGCCATCAGCGCCAAGCAAAATTAGTATATTCAGAAATGGAGGCCCTCCTCGCCCAGCTGCTTGGACAAGGCGGCCTGCCACCGGTGGCGCGCGGGATGAGCGGTGCGCCGTTGTGCTCTGCTGCTTTCGCGCCCCTTCGCATGTCCGGCCAACTGTAAGCTCAACGGCAGCAACCCGCTGCTCTTTCTGACTGTGATCCTTGCATGAATTGGGTCATGCGCATCGCCCCCATCTCTGCAAGCAGGGCTGCAGCAGTACGACCCCACGCAGCCGCCTGTGCGCTTCACGCGCCAAGAGCTAGAGAGGGCCCTCCGCCAAGGTGGGCTGCGCGGTTGCCGACCGCGCGGCGAGGCCTCGGCCCGCCATCTAGTCAACTGCGATGCCCGTCGCGCGCCACCTGGCCAGTACACAGGCGCAGACCACGCCCAGCGCTTCACCTGGCAACCCGTCACCGCAACGCGCCATGCGTGTTCCGCCACGTGCCATGCGTCCCGCGCAATGCGCCCCGCGCGCCGCGCCGTGCGCCATGCACCGTGCGCCATGCCCCATGCCAGGACATGGCTCGGGTTCGTTCGTCACTGACCTGACCTGCTGCGACTGTCACACCGCCTGCAGGCCACGAGCTGGCCGGGAACTACCTTCCCATTGTGGACCACATTGCAGCCGCATGGACGGCGCTTAGGCAAGGTGGGTGCATGCGCAGGCTGCTCGTGCTGCTGCTGTCCCACCTCTGGCGTGCTGTATAAGCCAGCCCTGCTCCGCCGCAGGCACATTCCTGTCCCAGCAGCACCACGAGCTCATGTGCCTGGCAGCAACCCCAGTTGACGCGTCTGCTGCACCCGCGGCTGGCTGCTGCGCACAGGGCGCAACAAGGAGGGGGTGGGGGAGCTAGCGGCAGCGCTGCGGCTGCCAGATGGGAGCTGGCCGCTGGGCGCGGGCGGGCCCATCACCAAGCGCATCGCGGACGCCGTGCGAAGCTCGTTTGAGACCCCCTGGTGCGCATCAGCGGCCGCTGGTGTGCCTAAGAGGCTGGCGATCGCCGCTTTCGCCTCGGAACGCCTGCACAGCCATGCAGGGCAACGATGTACACCAGGGAATTTAGCTGCGAAACTTGTCGCCTTGAGTGCTTCACACGCACTGTGCTGCGCTTCTCGCCGCTCAAAAAGTTGCTGGGCTCCTGTTCATTCAGCCACCCCTGTGCTCACATACTTGAAAAATGCCGTGCTCCACAATGCTCGGCAGGGAGACGCCCGACGCGGTGGCCGTGTCGTGCTACCTGGCCATTGTGGGTCCGCAGCTGGCGGGCGGCTACCCGCCAGGCGACCCCGAGGAGTTCTTCAACAAGGCGGTGGCGGCGTACCCTGACGACGCGTACATCTGCCACAGCCGTGCCACCTTCCTGGCCTTCCGCAACCGCAGCAGGTGAGAGATGGGGCGAGTGGAAGAGAGAGGGCTAGAAAGAGGAAGAGGGAGAGACACACACAGACAGATGGAAAGAGAGGAAGAAGGGGAGGGTGAGGGAGAGTGAGAGACAGAGAGATAGAGAGGGGGTCAAAGAGAGAGGGAGAGGGAGGTTGTTTCGGTTGGTGTGTGTGTGGAGGCTATTGTGTCTGAGCATTTTGAGCTTGGGAGGGCCCCATGCTTGAGATGATGCAGGGGCCGGAGCCGCTGTGCCCACCCCACCAACAGTGGCAGAGAGAGAGATGCAGCACCCTCCGCGACTGATGGGCAAAAGGGCAGAGTCCAGGCGCCGCTTGGAGCAAGAAATTGGCAGTAGCAGGGCCGCTGTCGTGCTTCAAGGTCGCGGATCGCGCCTCAGCGTCACCGCTTCTGCCCGCTGCCCGGGGGCGTGTGGCCACGCGCCGCCGTCGCTCGGCTTGCCCACCTTGTGGCCCACCCCGCTATCGAGCCCACAATCTCCGCTCGACCCGCAGGGAGTCTCTCAAGTGGCTGGACCGCGCCGCGGCCCTGGGCATGCCGCGGCGCTCGCTGCTGCTGGAGCGCTCCGGGCTGCTGCTCGGCATGGGGCGGACCACTGAGGCGGGGGAGAGCCTCGGGGAGTACCTGGCAACGCCCGGAGTGGAGATTGAGAGGGACTGGCCGGTGGCGCTGATGAAGATGGCCTACATCCAGGTGCGCAAATCTGCATAGTTTGGCGGGCTTCAGGGGGTGGGGCCGATGTTGTCAATTGAGGGAGGCCGCGCTTGTTAGAGCTCTGACATATGCATCGCGCTTGCATTAGCTGGTAGGGGCCGTTTCCATTTGCCAACAGGAACAAAGCTTTGCTTGGGCCGCTCGCGCCGTCGCCCAGCCCGCCAACTCCGCTCGCCTGTCGGCTTGCCCTCCGCTTGAATCGCCCACGCTACCCTCACAGATGGTCAGGGCGCAGGACCGTGCGCCGAGCCGTGGCTTGCGCACGAGGCTACAGGCCTCGCAGGAGGCGCTGTACTGGTTCACGCGCGGCCGCGACGCGGCGGCCGCGCTGCCGGCGTTCTGCGGGGAGTTCAGCCCAGGAGAAGCCGCGTTTGCGGTGATGGAGGCATTGGAGACGGCCGGGGTGATACGTGCCAACGGACAGCTAACGGCAAGGTGGGAAGCCGTCAGGAACCTGCTGAACGTGTGTGCGTGTGTGTATATGTCTCCAGGTGTGCGTGTGGGGGGTTGTGTGTGTGTGTGTGTGTTGTCTGTGGGCTTACGGTCTGCTCACGGGATTTTTGAGAGCTTGCGTCGCCATGTGAGGGCGTGGGCGGCGTCCATCCAGGCCTTGCCCAACGCCAACAGTTCCGCCTTGCTGCCGCAAAACACCCGGGCGCTGCCGTTTCCAACACACGCAATGCAGCGGCCGCAAGGCGCTCGCGGAGCGCGACGCACGCGTGGCCAAGGAGGCGGCTGCAGCGGCTGCAGCGACATTTGACACTGCGGCAGCCAAGCAGACGCCCGCGGCAGAGGCGGCGGGCGCAGCGGGCGCAGGCGTGAGAGACCAGGGCGATGGCGAGCACACGCATGAGGCGGCGGGCGCCCAGCCTTCCAAGAGCGCTGATGCAACGGCCGCAGCCAATAAAAAAGGGCCTAAGAAGTCCCAAACTACCAACAACAAGAAGAAGAAGCGGGGGGGCCGCTAGGCAGGCCCCGTATGCAGGATGGGCAGCGGTGGAGTGCAATGCCTATCTTGGGGCAGTAGGATGATACAGGCTTACTTGCTAGCTGTCTCCAGGAAAACCAGTAGTGCCCGCATTGTCAAGGTTTCGAAGCCTGCTTGCCAGCATTGTGCGACATCTGTTTTTGCGCAGCCCCCCCTGGGGCGGAGCCCTGGATTCGTGTCGTTGTTTGTGGCCTTCCGCCCAGCTGCCCACGGGTGTGTAGCTTTGCGTGCAGGGCGCTGAATTGGGTGCGCTGGGGTGTATCGGATAGAACAAATCGTTGCAATTATAGCAGGGCTTGAGCGGAACATTCCCGTGCTCCGCACGCGTAGAACGAAGGAGTTCTCACCACGCGCCTGGTGTGCCAGAGTTCACCTGGGGCCGGGCGTCGCCTGGAGGGCGTCCGGTGGGCTGGACAGCACACCTGGAGTGTTACAATGCTCCTATGCATCTCTTTTGCGGGCGTCCACGGCTCAGCAGCGCGCGGCGTGCATGGGCACGGTCAAACACCACTCCAGCCCAGCTGTCACAGGCCCGCGGCACCTCAATCGCGCCACCGCGTGGGTGTATAGAGTGTGATTCTGGTATGCAAAGTATGTGGTGCACGTCCGCGTATCTAAATGCTCCGGGCTTGCGCCCAACTCGGGGCTGGATGCTTCACAGACGCACTCCCATCCTCAATCCTTGCACGGCCCGCATTTAGAACCGCTGAATACGTTTTGTTGCACGCACGTAGTGCGTCAAGTGGCGCCGGTGGGCGCAGCAGCAGTCGCGCTCCGCAGCGCGCAGCGGCGACAGCGCAACGCGTCGCGGCCGGCAGCTCAGGCAGCGGCACCGCATGCCAGCTACCATGAGCACGGCGCACTGGGATTTATGGCGGCATAAATTTCACCATGCACCTTCACTGCTGTGACCAGAGCATGTGTGTGACTGCGCCTGTCTCGGTTGTTCGCACGCTGGCGTACGCACTGTGGGGGCGCACGGCATCGTCAAATGGGCCGCGCATGGGAGAAGCTGGCCGCCCCCACCCTCTGTTTCCCCCTTCTCACACCAGTTCTGCTGCAATCTGCGGGTGGCGGCCCGCGGCGGCCATTGCGCGGGGAGCGAAAAGGCGTGAGCGTCGTGGGGGTGCCGGCAGGCCAGTCGGACACGCCCGGCGGGCCCCCATTCCAATTTGTGCACAGGCTAATCCTAACGGCCTTTGAAACAGGGTAGCAGGTGGCCTGTGCGATCTATGAGACAAGAGAGGCAGCGAAAGCCAGGTGCAGGGGCAACACTCAAATCAGGCAAAAGAGAGGTCACTATGGTATGGGTACACGCAGTCAGCCCATCTCTACAGAGACCCAGCGACGAAGATTTTGGGCTGCGCATTTTTCCATCAAAACATATTCCATCATGGTGCCCAATTGCTGGAGGGTCGGCCAGAGGCGAGCGTCTCTTCCACCAACCCTCGACGATGCTGAGGCAGTGCCATTGGCACGTGGAGAAGCCCGCCCCGCAATGCCGCCCAAAAGCTTGCGGGTGGGTGTGAGCACCAGGGGGCTTGTCGCAGCCTGCAGGCTTGCTTACGACGTCGAAACCACTTGCTGGGTCACACTGCGTGCCTTTGGGCTCGCGTGCTGTCACCTTTGATGACTCACGAGCCTTGACGGGCTAGCAATTGCGGGCTGTATGCAACGCCCACGATGTTGGGAGTGATCAATCTGCACTGCTGGCTTGGACAATGGCTTGTGGTGCCGCCGGGCCAGCGACGCCAGCGACTGCGAGGTGGGGGCCTGCTCATCAGCAAGATCTCGTGGTGTAACCTGCGCAGGCTAGTCGGTAACGTGCGTGTTGTTGCCTGAAGGCAGTGGCCGCATGCAATTCTATCAGCAAACGACCTCCCACGCTGTTGTTTTGTTGGACAATGCGATCATCGATCATAGGGCGAGGCGGCATAGCTCGCCGGGAGGTTGTTGACAGCTACTCCGCCCGCTGATTGACATCCGGGCCCAGGAACACAGCCTTCCTATCATGATGATCGCGCATGTGCAGATACCGCGCGCTTGGTGCGTGCGCCAATGTCGCAGTTGTCAAAGGGGGTTGGAGGCGAGCAACCTGCGACACACAACCAGCCGTCTTGGCGCGCCGTGGCGCTCGCCGGCGTCTGGTTGCCGGCACAAGGCGTACCGCCTTGAAAATCATTTTTGATATCAGCGGGAATCTCGCCCCACGCGCCCCCCCTTCTTTCGCGCTCACGCAACCACCACGCACGCAGTGGCCCACCCGCCGTCATTCAACTGAAACCTTGGTCAGCAACCCACAAACAATCGGCTTGCCGATGCTCACACAAGTAGCAAAGATTTAAATATCACATTGCGACTGATTTGGTGACCAGAGCGAGCCCTGTAACCCGCGCGCGCACATCCACCCTACGCGGAGCCGCTGCGAGTGGGAGGCTTTCCAAGGGCGGGCAGGCCGCGGCCATGGAGCGGTCGTGTTCGCAGCAGCAGTTTGTTATGGAGATGCCCATGGAGGTGAGGTGACGGGGTGTAGAGCGCGGCAGCATCACTGCGGTGTGCGGGCTGGAACGGTCTGCAACACCGTGATATCATCCTAATTTGGTCTTTACAGGAGCTGGTGGAAATATCAGAAGCCATGCGAGACGGTCTGCAGGGCCGCATCAAGGACAGGTCCGTGCGCGCAAAGCGACCTGCGGCACGCGCTTTGTGTGGCATTGCTCACGCCCCCCTCGCCGCATCGTGCAGCCCCTGCCCCACCTACCAGCTGCTGCTGTGATTTCGTCCGCTTCTGTGCTTTCTTTGAAACAGAACTCCTGCACGGTACCTCGCAGGACGCACCGCCTGCGCACGTACCGCCGCTGCTTCCCCGGCGCGGCGGGCGTGCGGTGGCTGGTGGAGAGTGGCCACGCGGCCGGCGACGAGCAGGCGGTGGCCCTGGGGAACGCGATGCTGCAGGCCGGGCTGCTGCGTCACGTGGCTTATGAGCACACCTTCAAAAACACGCAGCTGCTGTACAAGTGAGGCGAGGGCATGTGTACGTCCTGCGCCGGCCAGGCGGAGCAGATGGCCCCAGCCAATGGCCCAGGGAAGGCCCGCGTGCAGCTGAGGTGTTTTGGGGTTTAGATACTCCAGTGTTTGCCCTTTGCAGCGCTGTGAGGGCGGCAGTCGCAGGCAGCGGCCACATCAGGGCGCCCCAGCGGCCCGGGCCGCGTGCCACCACCACGCCTCGTGCAGCGCCCCGCACGCCCAAGCCTCCTCACTTGTGCGCGACCGCCCGATGCCGACCCACCTGCCCCCCGCCCCCCACCGTCCGCCCCCCGTCCTGCGACGCGCTGCGCCGCAGGTTCACATCTGATGACGAGGGCGGCCCGCTCCTCGAACTATCCGCGTCGCGCCCGGCCAGCTGCCGCCAGTCCGAGACAGGGACGCCCCGGCTGGAGGGCGCGCCGCCGGACGGCCTGGCGTCGGCCGCCTCGATGCCGGGATCCCTCCACTCGTGAGCACCCCTCCGCGCCATGTATTTCAGCACAAACGCGTGTGCTGGCCCACGGCTTGCGTGCGCCCGCGTCTTGTCACTGGCCGCTGGAAGGCAGGTGCGTGACTCGTAGTATCCCGGCCGTCCAGACCGCCTCTCGACCACCCACCCATCCGGCAGCAACCGGTGCCTGCCAAATCGCATCGGCTCTCCGCTCTGCACCCACCCGCCCCAAACGCAGGCGGCTGCCGCGATTCACGCCACCGGCGCCGGGCGGCGGGAGCAGCTTTGCCCACCGCGCGCTGCTGAACGCCCAGGTGTGCGCGCACGCCCAGCACTCGTGCACACGCAGGCGGCGGCAAAACGCCCAGTCAGCGACGGCCGCCTTGGTGCGCCCGCGGGCTGTAGCAGTCACCTCCCTCCTGCCGCCAGCGGCGGCCCCTCCCAGGAAGCAAACGGCTGCACCCCATCCCGCACGCCATTCTCGGCGCTCATTCCAACAATCCCACGCCGCGCTCGCCCCTGGCAGCACCCTCACACACCGATTTGTACACCATCATCGGTCCCTATGCCACCCCAACAGGTCCACAGTCTGAATCAGAAGCTGGAGAGGCTGGCCTCCCAGCACGCCACCCTCCTGGCTGCCAACGCGCAGCAGCAGGAGGTGTGGGAGGGCCAGGCCTCGTCAGACCTGCGGGAGGTGAAGGAAGCTATCGGGCAGCTGGCGGGCGCGCTGGCGGCGACGCAGGAGCAGGTGTTGCAGCTCGTATCGCAGGTGTGTTTGGGGGTGGTGTATGGGGGGAGGTGTTTGGGATGTGTGTGTGGGGAAGGGGAGGAATGCAGGGCTTTGGGGGGCAGCGGGACCCTCCAAGCAGGCAAGAAGGGGGACGTGGAAAGGTACAGAACGGGGCCAGGTGGACCCTCAAGCTCGCGGCTGGAGGGCGAGCTTTCAAATGGCCGGCATCGGCTTGTGCGGCGCGTACGTGGTTTGATGGTGCCTTTGTGGGAAGGAACGCCCAGCAGTTGGCGCCCCGGGGCTCGTCCCTTGTGGGCGCCGGGCACACGCAGTCACACCTGGCTCAAACTTTCAAACTTCCACCCGCCCGCCCGCCTTTCAGGCCTCCAGCACGCACGGTCTGCTCTCTTCGCAGCGCGCCGTGTCTGCTGTGCAGCAGCTCATAATGGCGCTGGCGATGCTGGCCCTCGGCACCGGCTGGGCGCCGCCCGCGCTGTGGGCGCTCGCCGCCGCCGCGGCCGGCGCGCTGGCGGTGGTGCTGATGGACTGGGGCGCCGACGACGCGCGGGAGCGGCGCGCGGCGGCGCAGGAGCAGCTCGCGGCGCAGCGGCTGTCCGCGCGCGGCCTCGCGGCGCGGCTGAGCGGCGGCGGCGGCGGCGGCGGGCTGCCGCCGCTGATCACATCCCTGCAAGGCGAGCGGCTCGGCCAGCGCAACGGCGGCGGCGGCGCAAAGCTGGGCGCCGGCGGCGACGTCGTAGGCGGCGCAGCGCCGGGCGGCGTGTGTGTGGTGGCGTCGACTTCGACGGGATCCACCGCGTCTGAGGGCGGGTCCGACGCGCCGCCGCCGATGGCGCGGGAGGCGGAGGCGCTGCTGGTGGGGCGCGTGATGGGCGGGAAGCTGCTGGAGGACACGGTGAGGGGGGTGGCTGGCAGCTGGTGGCTGGCAGGTCGTGCACTGGGGGTGTGGTCGGCCATCGGGGGCGGGGGTCGGCGCCCAGGCCGCTGCTGGTTGACAACCCGGGGCCAGGGGTGGGGGCCCGCGTGTGTGGAGGGTGCAGGGCGACCTCGGTACCCTGGCTGGCATGGACGGCGGCGTTGCAGCAACCGATTCGCCATTGCGGCAGAGCCAGCATGGGCACTCTCCGCCAGCGAGCCTGTGCTGGCATTGCCGGTGTCAGCGCCGTCGAATCCAACCCATTCTATTCATCGCACTTGATGCGCGCAGGCGCCGGCGCTTGAGGAGTTTGAGGGCTGGCCCGACGGCGACGTCATCCTGCGCCCCACCCCCAAGTCGTCCGACTTGGCCGTCACCCGGGTGACCCGCTATGCGTCACCCAGCCATGTGGCAGTGCCCACGGAGTTACACGCACGCTGGGAGGCGGACCAGGCCCCCTACACCGACGCCGCGGACGATGATGTCGACGAGCAGCAGCAGCAGGCTCGCCGGGACAGCGGCGGCGGCGGCGGCGAGAGCGGCGGCTGGGTGCCGCAGCCTGGGGCGGGGCTGCCGCTCAATCAGTACGTCATCCACTTTGAGAGCGACCTGTTTGTGGGCAAGATGCTGTCGTACATCAAGGGTCTGCCCAGCAGCCACGAGCCCTACTTCACTGGGAAGAAGCGGCGCTCGGTGCTGATGCTGCAGGCGAGCGGGAATTGCTTGCGGGGGCGGCCAGGGGGGGGGGGCGCGGGGTCGGGCTTCAAGCCTTGGCGAGGCGCCTGAGACGTGACGTGCAGTGCAGTGTCTGGCGCAGGCAGGCACGCTTGCCGCAACAGCGCCCGCTGTGGTGCCACCACTCCAGCTACGCACCTCCGCGGCCTGCTGTCTCACCACCCCCCTTGCTCGTTGACCTGTCGCGGCTCGCCCCACCCCAGGGCCGTTTCAAGCGGCCGCTGGGGCTGGCTGACGTGGTCACCGGCCAGGAGTTCGACCGGCCCTTCAAGAACCTGCGCGGCTGCTGGCTGATGGAGAAGGTGGGCAGGCGGATGCCGGAGGCAGGGAGTCCAACAGCTGGCCCATACGTCTTATGTCTGGACATCCCCACTTGTGGATGCAAATGTGCCTTTGCCTGTGTACGAGTGCCTGCACGCGCCCTCCTGGAACCGTGTGGTGTGAGTCTGTCTTCCAAACGCAACGGCAGGCAGCAAATATGGGCAGCCTTCTCTTACCTTGAATGCAAATCAATCACCCGTCCCCGCGCCGGCCGCGCCGCAGGTCATCCTGGCGTTTGCCAAGCGCGTGGTGACGTGCCTCGAGCTGGGGGACGTGGCCAAGAACCCCTACATGGTCTTCCCCCTCATGGCCCTGGCACACCGCGTCAACGTGGCGCACCCGGGCC